AGTGGTGAAAAATCTCGACTAGTAGAATTATAAGAAAAGAAAACATGCATTGTTCGAATTTAGAGTTCTCATTTATGGGAGACATCGTTGCTTCTTTTATTTTTCATTTTTACATCTTTTTTTGTTAGAATTCATTTTTCGACATTTTTCCCTTTCGATATTTTTTCTTTCGACATTTTTCCCTTTCGACATTTTTCCTTTCGACATTTTTCCCTTTCGACATTTTTCTTTCGACATTTTTACCCTATTTTTTTTTCTTTCGACATTTTTCCTTTCGACATTTCTACTGCACACCGAACCATTGATACAACTCAACCAGACGAATATGATTCCAAGTCAAAATCGATTAATTTCTCATCATGAACAACAGCATTTAAGAACAAGAAGTCAAGAAGCTCGACAAAGACGACGCCAACGGCAACGTCGACGAAGACGCGAACGACGTGCAGCTCCGAGACGCCAGCAAAATCAAGCACATCGGCAGCAACAGTGGCAACAACACCAACCACGACAATATCACCAACAGCGACAACAACACCAGCCACGACAATATCACCGACAACAACAGCAGCAACAGCAACCACGACAACAAGAACAGCGACGAGGAGGTCAGAGAAACGACCAGTGGTGGGGACGTCAATGGCAGGGTGGACAACAACGAGGAAGAGAGCGAATACATTTCAATCATACATGGCGACATTCAAACTTGTTCGATGAAGGTAGTGTTAGAGATTACCAACAAAGACTTTTAGAAGACTATGAATTTGAAACGATAGATGCAAGACAACGATGGGAACAAGAACAAGTGAACGAATTAGAAGGATTTGCTGTTCTAGAACAATTAGCATTGATACAAGATGAAATCGAACAATCACACCAAATTGATACTGTTCAGCAACTTCAAGAAGATGAACAACAAGAACGAAATACTGAGCAACTTGTTCACCAAGAGCTATGGGAACAGATTGAATTTTTACATCAACAATTGAACCAACGCTAGATTTATTATCATTGCCATACAGATGAACATACATCTCTTCGTGTAAATAAAACATAGATATTGATCTATACACAGTTATGTTTCATTTTCTCATTATCTATCAAACATATTTAACGGCTGCTTTTTTTTTGTTTTTCATTTCACATATTCACTATCAAATGCCGTGAAACATACACGTCTCATTCTCATCTCAAACATACAAACAAAACATATATATAAGAAACCATACATAAACAAACGAAAAACAACACTGCTGCTTAGCAAAACCGAACCGTTCAATCACTCGTAGCGATGGATCATACGATGCAATAAGCGTAATAGCATATGCTTTTTACTAGCGTTTAATTGTCTTATGTTAGACAATCACATCGACACACCTACACTCACGTTTAAAATGAAGAATAGATGCTCATGTTTTAGTGTATGTTGATCCTTTTCTGTTGATTGTGTTTTCTTCTACTTTCTAAATATTACGATTCAAACAATAATGAAGAGTATGCTGAAAAATAAGTTTATACTATTTAATATTCTATAAGAACTGCAAATCAAGATGAAACAGCAATATCTCTGATATGATCCTCACATTTCCTCTACTCTCACTATCTATCAAATGTGTTTCATTGTATATGTAGTATTCTTCGTTTCATAGAGTTTTTTGTTTTCGTTGTATCATATGTTTATGCGATGAACTGCTTAGCTTTAGTCCAGTATTGCTTTTGTTTTGTCTTATTCTTCTTTTTTGTTTTGTTTGTTTTTTCTTCTTCTAGATATATTCAACCGTTGGATGAATCGAATTGAAGAGGAACCCATGGTTGAACCATTGATTCCATATTCAGACGAAAACAATTTCAATGATAATAATAAGAATGAATTTTCTTTCGATAAAGAAATACCTCAATTACTTCAATATGTTGATTGGAAGGATTTTTCACAATTGATAGACAATATCGATTCAATCGATTTAAATAGTGAACAATTCAAACAAAAAATTTTATCCATGCAACATCAATGGATGAATGAAACTTATGTTTTACGAACATTCTACAAAGGTTATTCATTGCATCTATTCCAAACAAGTGATTTTGAACGTCAATCATCGGAGAATATTAAACAAAGTGGTGTCTATACATACATTCAAAAATTGAATCCAACTAAACCAACGACAACGACGACTCTACGATATTTGATGAAGAGTGTCGAACAAGTACAGACCACATTGGATGATTTATTTTGTTCTGATAGTAGTACTCAACGACAATATGAACAGATGCGAATTCATCGTTCCGAAGTCACACTAAATTATTTATTATTTGCTTTAGATACAAAACAAGTATGTGTTTTATTTCACTCATGTTTTCTTTTTATCTTGATCTGTTTTATTTACAAAAGAAACAAAAACAAAAGGATGATATCGACATCATTCGACCGATAATGATTTGCAATAAGGCACCCACGATGGGTATTTGATGTTGTCTCAGTCATTTACTCTGGTCTATCTTTACACAGGCAACGGCATGTCGAATATTTACCAATGGTGCTGATCTTGTTGAAACATTTGAGTCATATTCAAGAAATAATGTTCTTCAATCGACAACGCTATTTGTTACATTTAGTATCCATGAACTGTGTACCAAATTTTCACATGACATTATGATCAGAGCTCTCGAACACTTTCTCGTGACTTATGATACGGAAGAGACTATGGATGGTTTGACGATTGAAACAATTCTTCAATTGGTACGGCTAGTACTATGAAATCAATTTTTTGGTTTATCAAACATTTATATGTGTTATGGTCAACCAGCATGGATGTCTGTTCTGATGGCTCAGAAGCAGCAAAATGAACTATTTGGCAGGTAAATATCTTTTCTTTGATCACAAACAACCATTCATTAATTCGATCATCATTGAATAGATTTCAATACGATGTATTTCTAACATGGAATAGATCCGAAGATCATCTTCAATTTTTATTTCAAAAACCAATTACCATAGAGAAACATCCTCGAGCTATTTAAATCGAACCCTCTATTGGAACAATGTTTCATTTTCTCGATGTAGAAGTAGGTCATCACCATGGTCGTCTTCATACTCGAATTTATCATGATCCAGTGATGGATCAATATGAATTACCAAATAAATTTGGAGATGAAACATGTCTATCATCAAGATTCTTACAAATGATACTCATGTATGCTGTACGATGTTGTTCGAATGAAGAAAGTTTTCATTTTGAAGGACGTTACATGAAATTTGTCTATCTTTTATATGGCTTTTCAGTACATTTTATCGATGATTCTATTCAACAATTTTACAAACAATTTCATGCCTCTGAAGTAATGGGTGGCCCAGAATAAATGAAGGGTTTAGTATTTTCTTAATATATTCTTTAGTTTTCGTCGATTCTGACTGAACTTTCTTTCAAATGATTCAGTGTTCAATTCTGCATAAAACCATATACAAATGAATGTCACAAATATAAAAGTAAAAAAGTTATTGCAGTAATACTATGACCATGTAATATCAACAACTTTCAAAAGTACTTCCAAGATGTGGGGCAGAATAAATAACCTTCTCAGTATTTCATCAATATCTCTTTCCGTTTTCATAGTTTCGGACTAAACGTTTTTTTCAAAAGATTCAGCGTTTAATTCTGTACAAATTCCTTTATAAATGGGAATCAGAGAGATAAGCGCAAAAAAATACCTAAATTAGTAATACTGTCGACATACAATATAAACAACTTTCAAACACAGAACACAGTTGTCGTGTATGTTTGTTATGCTATCGAACAACATAGACAAATTTGGACAAATTGCACGATCCATTTTGTAGCACTTCAAAAGCTCTATCTTACTACTATGTTCAAGAATCTTCACACCGATACCTTATTGTAAAAGATAAGGGTTAAATAAACTTGTTTTTATTTGAGATGAAAAACTGCATTTTCTTAATTTAAAAAAAACAGTAACGTTTATTAACACTAATTTTATGCAATAAGGTTTCGTTATGATAATTCATGAACATAGTAATAAGATAGAGCTTTTTAAACTCTGCAAAATGGATAGTACAATTTGTCCAAATTTGTCTATATAGTTCTACATGAAAACAAACAAATACAGTATAGTCGTATTTTGCGTTTGAAAGTTGTTGATATTGCATGGTCATAGTATTACTGCAATAACTTTTTTACTTTTATATTTGTGACATTCATTTGTATATGGTTTTGTACAGAATTGAACGCTGAATCTTTTGAAAGAAAGTTCAGTCAGAATCGACGAAAACTAAAAAATGTATTAAGAAAATACTAAACCTTTCATTTATGCTGAGCCACCCGTTACATTATCTTGTTGATAGAATTCCATATGGAACTTTACGAAAACGAATGACATAACATTATGAACAATTAATCATCTTGAAAAACAAATGGTCTACAGAAATACATATGATTCAACCTATTTCCCTTTCGGACCCATCAATGTTGGATTATTTTAAGCATCATTTATTCGATCTGTTAGAAAAATGTTTCATTTTTGAACCAGAATTTCATGAATAATATTTTTCCGTCTATGATAAAGTATTTCGAAAAGCAAAAGCCACTACGTCATATTTTAATGTTACCGACGGAAAAGAAAAACAGAGACAAATATGAAAGTATGTATCGGCAACGAATTCATCCTTATCTATGCAATAAGTTGTTTTTTCACTCTAGATGATGACAACGAAAATACAATATAGTACAATGGCAAAAACTAAAGATGAACAATGATTATTTAGCTCATCGTTTCTTTTTCTTTTGTTTTTGCTTTTTGTTTTCTTCTTCTTCTCCGTCGCGTCTTGTTGTTGACCATAAAGTTTTGTTTTTTTGGATGAAAATTAGTTGATCGATTTGATGTTTATTTCATTTTTATTTCAGATTTCTTTCTCTCATAGAATCGCACACTGCAACGCATAATGGTTGAGCAAATTTACCCTCAAGTCATTGATGTCATTCTCCCATGGACGGATAACATGTACGAAAATGAAGATGACAATGATTTGCACGAATTCCTCGAACAATTCGGAGTTCATGTCATGTATCTACCATTTACAGAAAGTAATTTTGAAATCTTTCGACAACGTGTATTAAATTATGATCAATATCAAAGAGCAACGAAAAAACAACGAGAATTACGCCGAAAGGAACAAATGGCACTATCTCTTCCGTATAAGAATCATTGGAACAAATATGAAACAATTTATTGAAAGAACAGTTTGGAGATTATTCGCAATTGAACAATTTTTGGAGTAAGATCCGACCACATCACTCTCCTCCTTTACCAGTACAGAATGTTCTCATTATGAAACGACCATCAATTCATCTTTTGACCTTACCACAGATAGAGAAGCACAACCAATGTTCGTATTAAAACTGGATATTCCTTTTTTTTGTCTTATCATACTGTAGCTTTGTTGTTTGTGTAGGTGGTCGTCTCGACAAGGATGTTCACATTGATTAACATATTTAGTTCAATAGAACTAGTCTTCTTCTTCGTTCCTAGATAATAGCACAGTTCTTGTTTTTTGTGTAGCTTTTATTGTTGTTCTATCGGGTCTAGATTCTTTCTTTCGACACTATCGTTATTCATCAAATCATTTTGAGCTTTCATTTCGAATTCTAGATGACATTACTTTCAACTATTATCCTGTTGTGAATATGTCTACTGGCTCATCACCAGAAGCATCGTCACTCGGGATGAAAATAAGAATGAATGATGTCGTCTTTCATGATAAATTACCTATTTATAGAAGAAAAACGACCATTCTTCTTATGTTTCTCGTCACTGTTTTAGATTTTACAAATGAGTGACAATAACGAAACACTAAGTTATACTCCATTACTTGGAGATAATCAAGGTCGTTG